CATTACAAAAAAATTTACTTAGATGTTTTGTTTAACACAGGACTCTGTAGCGCGCTGTGTGTTAAGCGATGTATACGTGAGCGTTTCACCCACATTTGTGACTTAAAAAAGACCTGCAATACAAACGTATTTAAGATCAGTGTGTGAATAAAAAGTCTGAAAACATTAAGCCCACATACCCTTCAGTTTTAAACAAAAACACTGATAATTCAACAATGCAAATGACGGAGCCGTTACTGAGATGGTGAGCTAAGGCTGAGTGAAAGAAAATGTTTTCTAGCATCCAAAACAGCACTGTTGTTCCTGTGCTCACCTTTCAAATCTTTACTGGAAAAAAGTCAGCTAGAGTCCTTCATCAAACCACCTCATCAATAAACTCTGACATGAAGAAAAGCAACCTTTGTATCTGCTCCAATAATATTTATTTCAAGGCTTTCGTAACATTTTCAGTTTAAAAGTGAAATCGTATAAAACATTGTATTATTTAGATTGCACTAATATTTAAAAATATAAAAATAAAAGCTCTTTTCATAAGCAAGTAACACTGTTCATGGGCCATTAAACTCTGAGCCAAGACCTGAGGTTTGTTAGATTGGAGACTGAATTATTATTAATAAAGGGGACTCGAGCCTGGAGCCTATTCCAGTTGTCATAGCGCAAGTATCATAGTTGCAAGTATGTCACAGGGCTAACACACAGAGACAGACAGCCATTCGCAATTTAGTATTATCTACTACTAGTAACCTAACCCTGCATGCCTTTGGACTGAGGGAGGAAGCCAGAGTATCTGGAGAGAACCCACGCAGACATGGGGGCAACATGCAAACTCCACACAGATGGTGAAGTCGATGTCAGGACCTTCTTGCTGTGAGGCAACAGTGCTTTTTTTTGACAGATGTTGTATACAGTTAAACTTACAATTTCTAAAATGGAAAAGAATAAGCAGTTCATTCTGAAAGATCTGTTTTTTCTCTCTTGAATATTCATCATTGCTCATTAAAAAAAAAAGTATTTCTTATCTGATTAATCGATGGAATAATTACTTGAGATTACTCAATTACTAAAGTAATCGATAGCTGCAGCCCTAATAAAGTGAAGAAGTTTTTAGTGTTTTTACTGGTTAGAGTTCCTTCATACAAAACATCTTATTTTCCTTGACATAAAATTTGAAATTTGTCCATATGTCTGCTCTTGTCTTCCTCTCGATCACTGATATTTTTGGGGGTTTTCATGAGAAACAAGGAGCATGACAGCTAGCTGAACCACCCTTCCAACACTGTTTCCTGCATGCAGATTAAATTACAAGTGTCTAACCTTATTGCACAAGAGATTTCTTTTGATTGAAGCACTTCATCTTGCCTTTCTACTAGGGATATTCGTAGTGACTTTCTTAATCAACTAAATGTGAAAAAAGAATTAGGCTAACTGACCAGTCAAAAACTAAGAAACCCTGAGCTATCAAGTTAAATCTGAGAACTGTTTAATGAACATGTTTAATGACAAAGTCTTAAGTTTCCTCCTTAATGGCATATGTGTCAAGACTTAAAATTTTACCAACAGGCTTTAGTAGTTTTTGCTTGAACATGTAGTTTTTATTGCTTTTGCTGGCATCAAATGTAGATATCTGTGATGCAAAAATCGAGAGAAATAAAAGTGTAGAACCTCATGCTTGTTTGGTCATAAAATCTTGAGCACCTTTTCTAAATGCTCTTGACTGCACTGTCAGCCAAAATGGTTATCATATTGGGTGGTGGTGCAGGAAGTGGAGTCAGCATCTAGTCAGATTTAGAAGTAGTTTTAGGTAAACTCGTCAGCATTCAGCTAAGAGTATCGGACTGTGTAGAAAAGAGCTACAAAGCACAGCATGTATCAGGCTCTTTTTCCATCATATGTTTTCCTATTTTATTTATTGATAGAACATCATATTTTTAAATATATGTAGCCAAACATTTTGTGCTACCAATCTACAATCCACACAAACACAGTAAAAGCCTGATACTCCCAGCATCAACTAGGGAGTTGAAACAGGAACACTTTATTTTTAAAACCTTAACATTCTGTGAATTTAGACCAAGCCATGTTTAAAATTACATTAATTCTGCTTTTGAACCGTTTGCAGTAAATTCATCTTTAAACTAGCACTCCTTAAGTTTTTACCCAACAATTAGAATCAGTGATAGTGCCACTGGCACTGAAAATGCAAAAGTGCAAGTTTTATTGTTTTACATTTTGACCTAATATAAAATACAAAAAAGATGCAAACTTTTTTGTATTGTACTTTTTAAAACATAAATACAAAGGGCATGTTAGATGCTTGCCTGTGACTCTAGATGCTTGCCTGACAACACAGAATACAGAATGAAGCATTAAATAAGCAGGTTCAAATTTAATAAGCATAGCCACAAAAGTATAAAAATGATATATCAGCACTCTGGGATATCTAGATGTTCTAGACCAGATTGGATTTTATAGTCCTTTGCCATTGTAGGAATTTTATTTGTCTACATAGTCATGATCAGTGGATTTGGATGTGGTAATGTATGTGGGTAACTTCAGTTCAATAATAGGTTTTTGTTGGTTTATCTGCAGAGTTGATTGTAACTTGTGTTGTGATTCTATCCTGTAATGGTTTCCATTATTAAAATTACAAGATCATTTTCTTGCCTTTCATTTCCTTTAGCTATATGTGGTGAAGTTATTTACCTAAAGTCTGATGAACCCTGCTGACTATAGTATGTTGAACAGTTACATATTTTTATAGACCACGGGACTTGGATCAAGTCAGAAGGCTGTTGTGCCTTTCCTGTTGGACCACCTCATCAACACCTTTCTTCTGAGCTGACTTTGAAAATGAATAGAAAATTAATTGAGTGGACTAATTGTGGAATAAGTACAAGAAAGAATGCATGGACAAATACATGACAGGTGAATGAACATCTGAATGAATGAATTGAATGTGTCAACTAATGAATGAACAAAGAACTGACTGAGTGTAAGAAATTATGAATAAATGACTGATTAGCCACTGATGAAAAAGTAGTTGAATGAGTGAGCAAATGAATGAATAATTGAAAATGGCAAGTTTGCTTTGCAGCTTGCTGTAAACCCTTTCTGTCACTACTCCTAATGGCTTGGGAGGTGTATCTGTAATTAATGTGCCGTATTGCGTCTAGGAGACTTTCAATAATTATAAAGTAACAACTTCAGGCTTGTGTATCTTTATGACAATTTTAAAATGAAAATGTGTTACTATATAAATAATCAGTTTTGTGTAGTTTGTGGGAAACTGTGGCTGGTTGAAACCAAATTTGTAATGTCTTGTTAAGTGGCAATGACAATGAATAGATTTAAAAAATAGATTATTATAAAATTCTTATTTGTAACATTATTCATGCAAGGGTAGTAAGTGCATCAGTGCTTACTTGCAGCAATGCTTTGCTTCACTTTCACAAAAATGCACAGGGGAGTTGCCTGTTATAGTCACAGTCTGTTAGACACTGACCGGCTCAAGGACACCTCTGCATTACCTAATGAGTGGCAGAAAAAGCATTTCTCAATTACTTACCCGGCTTAAATTTATCCAGCTATTATTAGTTTGCTTCTCTGACATTGAACCGCCTCTCTTTAAAACTTTGGAGTTAAAGTATTTTTTCTGCCAACATTTAACTTTGGACCATCCTTTATAAAGTACCAAATAGAAGAGAGGAGGTAGTCACACTTACATACACGCACACACACAAACAAAACACACAGCACACACACACACACACACACAGAGTGAGAGACAGCCATACTTTCGATGAGCCACAGGAGAAATATTGAGGGGTTATAATGTGAGAAATGTATTTTCCCAGTTGCCTGCCAGAGGCCATAGCAGGAGAGGTGGAGGAGGCGGAGGAAGATCTTATTTAGCTGGAAATGGACAAAATGGTGAAGCAGCACTTTGTATTCCTCTCACCAATTTCTGCTCTCCCTCACTGCCCTTTCCTCTGGCTCTGGCCAATGTATGATTTAACTCTAAACTGTAGTGAAGGATAACATGATCTGAATGTTAAAGGTAAAGCTGTTAAATATTAAAATTTTGTTTTGTTAACTAAGTACACATAGGTTTGCATATTTGTTTGTTTTTTGGCTTTAGTCACTTAACTGGAACTAGATCATAGCTTTAGCTAGGGCTGTGCGATATGACCAAAATCTCATATCCCGATA